GAAAAACCATGGGCTATAGCCTTTTTTTAGAAAAAAGAATTTTTATTGGAAAAAGAAAACAGCACGAGTAGGGGACAAAATTAATTAAGTTAGAAAGAAGATAAAAATAAAATAAAATAGGTTAGGTTAGGAAAAATAAATAAATAAATCATAGCCTTAGGTATTTTTCAGAATTTTGGCTTTTCAAAAAATGGTCATAACTTGAAAAATATTTGTTGGAATCAGCTCAAACTTTCTACACAACATAAGGACATCAATATGTATCAGAAAATGTAATAAAAATTTGGGATGATTTCGGAGCCATTTTTTGAAAAAACCATGGGCTATATAGCCTTGGGTATTTTTTAGAATTTTGGCATTTAGTTTGACTGTAGTTGTAGTTTGACGTTTTTTTATTGCATGTAGTTTGACTGCTTCCTTGACTTTGTCCTGTTCCTGAGGTGCAGTTTCAGAAACAGGGGATGATGATATTTCTTGAGGTAGAGGAGACTTGTCAATATATACCTTTATATAGTTGTATGGAACCATTCCCTACTGTCCATCACTAGCTTCCCTAGCTGTGAACCAGTTGGGATCCTAAAAGCAATAGGGATAAGCTTGCACAAATTATTTAAAACTTGCCTTGGATTTTTTGACAATAATTATTTTGTCACCTCTTCTAAGTGGTAAGTCCTATAAAAAGGAGAGCCAGGATTATAAGAGTAATAAAGGATAAGGTAAAAGGCATGCACAGAAAAAAGAATAGGCCAAAGTTATGGAGAGTGTAGGAGGACACTTGCACTTTTAAAGCTCCAGCCTCACATGAGATGCTGAGCCTGGGAAGTTATATTTAGCTATACATGTGGTACCAGGTCCCCATTGAGTGTGTGGTGGACTAACAGCTGCCATTTTAAGTCTAAGAGAAGAAAGAATTAAAAGTATGATTAGTAGTAACTTTAAAAAATAAAATAATAAAATTGTAAATTATAAAACATCAAGGAAGACAAAATAACCAGCATTAGAACTGCCAAACACACTGGACTAACCGTACCCATACACACACGCCCTGAAGACAACTTAAGCAAATTTTTTGTTCATATTCCAATATTTATGTACACACACACACACACACACACACACACACACTGGCATACATGAAGTGACACCCACAACCACCAAAATGATAATGGATTTTAATTAATTTAGCTACGGTAAATAAAGAATCTATCCTTAAATCAGTGTACATTTGAAAACACAGTAAAGCATTTCAGCTACATTTATATAAGTATTTGCTTTTTCAGTTATGATAAGGACCATAGCAACATAATTGCTCATAGTAGGCCGCAGTACCATGTAGATAAGTACTATATTGATTGCCATTTGCCCCAAATCTATATATATATATATATATCTACTGTGTACTTACGTGATATAAAGGTCCAAAATCAGCGAGACTCCCAGGCTACACTAAACCACCGCTTCAGTATTCTTC